AATGTCAAATAATCAAGCAAAGATATGAGACTATAAATGGAAACAGGGAGGTGGAAAAGACAATTGTATTATAGTATGCCAAACAATTGTATTACAACTACCCCAAACCTTATAGAGAGAAAAATAACAGTTATCCTTACTGACGAAAAATAACTTTCCAAGTTTCACTGCCAGACATTTATTGAGTACACAATGCTGAAAGTTAGAGAAAGTAGGATATATAAGAAGTTTACCTATCCAGCAACATCTGTCAAAGGAGAGTCCATAAAAGGCAAATAATAATTACAGTGCTTACAACTAGTAACAGTAGCATGCAGGCACTAGTAATCAAAATAGGAGCATTTGCAAAATACCTTTTTCCAGAAGATTGGTAAGAAATCCCACTACCATGATTCATGGATCACCATTTTGGAGGCAAGAATCATAATCTTTGTTGGTTCTATTATCAACCCGACTGCCAGCCTGCTCCCCACAAAAGCAAACAAAATTAAAAATGTAAAATATATGAAATATGCTGAGAGAGAATTTTAAAAAGTATAAATGTGGATTACCAGTGTTGGTATGTGGTTTAGTGCAAAGAACATTGAGCAAATCAATCAGAGAGTTAAGTTTACCTGGATCTCTGCTGTCTGAAGGCAAAGTGCTCACTTTAAGGCCTCAGTTTGCTCATTCGTAGAATGGAATACCTAGACTATAAAGTTCCTCTCTTGGTCTCAAATCCCATCATGTAATATCAGAATGTGTAAAAAGGCATGTTTACTAAGGGTATGCTAACACAATACATCTGGATCTGGATGGCTGACATATAATTTATGAAGTCATCAAAATTGACTATAGACTTAATCGTTTAAATAAATTTAAATCAATCACTTTTTTTTTGAGACAGGATCTCACTATGTAGCCATGGCTGACCTGGAACTCACTCTATAGATTAGGCTAGGCTCAAACTCACAGAAATCCGTCTGCCTCTGCCTCCTGTGTGTGGGGATTAAAGGCCTGTTGCCACTACACTTGGTCTTAAAATCAACCAATTTTATGGTGCGTCTTGCAATTGAAACGGTTACTCTACATCAATGTACACAAAACAACCAGGTGCTGTATCAAAATTACTTATGAAACTAAAGAAAAACTACTTTTTTTCCTGTAGATGTAGCTAAAAATCCGGAAAGGCCCAGAAAGAAGTTATTTCCCAGAATCAGACCATCACGTTTTTCTTATTATTTTCATGTGGGTCTGGATAACTATCAACAGCATAAACAAAATGAGTTTATATTATAAAATATGTGACTTTACATAAGATGTTTGGTTAAAAATAAAATTAGAACTCATCAAGAAATTAAATTGTTTAGTTGCATAAAACCCAACTTCCAACCCATGATTATCTAGCCTCTGCGTTGTTGGGGTTTTCTGGTCTAACTTTAAAAATAATTTTATCTTTGTATAAAAAAATTTAGGGGCTGAAGAAATGACTTAGTGATTATGAAAACTGGCTACCCTTACAGAGGACCCAGGTTCGGTTCCCAGTGGTAGCTAACAACTGTCTGTAATTCCAGTTCCAGGGGATCCAATGCCCTCTTTTTGTCTCTGCAGGCATTGGTCAGATGTGGTGCATTTACATACACGCAGGATTATCACTCATACACATAAAATAAAAATAAATCAATCAAAAAATAAAGGAAGAAAAATTTAAAGAAACATTTTATGAGGTGGAAAAACCACCCAGAACAGGAATGTCAAGAAAAGTGAACATTGCAACCTATTACTAAAATGCTCAAATGGGAATCAAGCATAAATATCTTTTGTCAAATTGGCAAAGATTTTTTTCAAATTATTATACTCAAGAGAAAAAAAAAGAAACTTTTTAGAGATTATTTCTCTTTGTGTGTGTGTGTGTGAGTGTGTGTGTGTGTGTGAGTGTGTGAGTGTGTGTGTTTGTGTGAGTGTGAGTGTGTGTGTGTGTGTACATACGCACACACACAGATATCTGCAAAGGCCAGAAAAAGGTGTCAGATCCCCTGGAACTGGAGTTACAAGTGGCTGTGGGCTGGCCAGTGTGGGTACTGGGAATTGAACTTGGATTCTCTGGAAGAGCAGGAAGTGCTTCTAACCATTGAGCCATCTCTCCAGTCCAGAAAAACATAATCTTTCGGGAGAGTGATATATTTGGCAATATTTACTACCATACTTAAAAGGAGAGGATAGAAATTCCCAAACATTACTGGAAAGAATAAGTATTAGTCTCCAGGTGGCACTCTAGCAACATATCCGTGTGAGCTCTTTGACCCAGGACTTCCACTTCTAGGAATAATCCTAAAGAACTGAGGCAAACATGAAATGATCTATGTCCAGGGGATTCCTTGCAATATTGTTTATAAGTCTAAAAAAAAACAGTGAAAGCTATGTAAAAGTCCAATGGAAGATTGAGTAAATACATGGCTACGTTCTTACAAGTTAAAACGTGCAACTGCGGGGCTGGGGGGATGGCCCAGTGGTTAAGAACACCGGCTTTTCTTGCAGAGGACCCAGGTTTGGTTCCCAGAACCCATATGGAGGCTAACAGTGGTCTGTAACTCCAGTTCCAGGGGATCCAATGCCTTCTTCTGGCCTCAATGGGTATTGTACACATGGGTGCACTTGCATGTATGCAGGCAAAACAAACACATAAAATAAATAAATAAATAAATATAAGCAATTGTGACAAGGAATGAGGCCACTCCACGTATGCTAATGTGGGAAGATATCTAAGAGTCATGGTAGAGCACAAGAGGGCAAGTTGTAAAATATCAAATAGTGAAAAAACATATATGAGAATGTGTGTACAAATGCAAAGACAAGGGCTAGAGAGACAGCTCACTGGTTAAGAGCACTGGCTGCTCTTGCAGAGGACCTGGGTTCAATTCCCAGCACCTACATGGTAGCTAACAACCATTCCTAACTGCAGTTCCAGGGGCTCCAGAACACTCCTCTGACCTCCCTGGGCATTGCACAACATGGATGCACTTACATACACACAGGCATTAACACTCCTAGACATAAATAAATAAATAAATAAATAAAACTTTAAAAACAAAACAAATGCAAAGATAATCATTAAAACATTCACAGTAATTCACTCTGGTTAGTGTGAGGTAAGATTTATATTTTTATTAGGAATTTACCCTTGGTTTAAATTTTTCAATATATATCATTTATATAATAATAATAGGGGCTGGAGAGATGGCTCAGTGGGTAAGAGCACTAATTGCTCTTGCAGAGAACCAGGTTCAGTTCCCAGTACCCACATGCGGGCTAACAACTGTCTGTAACTCCAGTTCCAGGGGATCTGACACCTTCTTCTGACCTCTGTGGGCATTGCACGAGACATGTGCACTTACATAATGCAGGCAATACACTCATACACATAAAATAAAAATAATAAATAAAATATGATAATAATAATAAACCTATTTCTAAAATGTAGATCAAATAACAGGGAGTCGGAGGAGAACTGGCCATTCATAACTTGTAGCTGACTGCCTGAAAATTAGTCTAACACTATCATATACACAACAGTGTGCAGACTCTGATGACCATTACAGTGATGTGCACAGTACTGAAGTTACAGACTTTAGAGTCTCTTCGAGCAAATGCAGTGGAATTGGGTATTATGAATGCAGAAACACACTGGCTTGAAAATACTTCACAGTATATTGGTAAGTGAAATAAAAGGTAACTAAACAGACAGTTGTAGTATACATATTTTGTTTACCACTAAATACACAGAACAAAAGCCTGACAAAATATATGTCAGAATGTATTTTGCAGTGATTAGTCATTTTTGTTTTCCTTTTCTACTAAATATTTCTATAATGAAGAAATACTATTTATATTTTTTTTAAGTCTTAAAAATATGCCTTGTAGATTTTTCAGGTTTTAAATGACTAGGGAGTTGTCAAAAAAAACTATGCTAATCTGTGAAAAACAGAAAGATCATAATTTCAACCCTTGTGTCCAGCATAAACTGTACTACCACGAAACCCCCGAACCCCTTCAGCTGACATGCATCATGTCCTAAAGAACTGAGAGCCAGAGGAACACAAAACAAATTCAGGAGACCCAAGGTACCTATTCTGACTGGGTGTCCTGAAACGTTCTGAGTTATAAAACACACTGGCTCAGATTACAGGCTAAGCATGACAAGTCTGTCTGATACACCCCAACAAAGGAAATGTGCAGAGTGAGAAATTTACACATCTCGTTCCCCAGGGTGGAATGAATTGCAGACGCAAAGAACTCAGTAGGGTTAAGCTCTTTCCTACCATTTCATGACAGGCTTCTGAAGTATGCTTTGGAAACATTTCTTACATGACTTATTTATTACAGCATTCAACTAAAACAAACTCATTTTTTTTCAAGGTGAATGGGAAGAAAAATGAGAAAGATTGTGTTCTAACAGGGTCAAACTTCTTACATACTTTCAGGTGAACCGGGCCTGCCTACCTCCGTCTCTCCCTCCCTCCCTTCCTCAGAAGAACATTCTGGTGATAACAATAGTTTTTTTTTTGTTGTTTTTTTTTTCTCCTGGGTAGTATAAATGACACATTTTTCCTGTCGCTTGTCTTCCTGTAATGTGCAGGAATTTCTACACTTTCTGGGTGTCCTCCCTGTCAACTTACATTTCAGATTTTCTCAAAAGGCACACTACCGTCTTAATATTTGAAAAATGTCAGCTCAACCCCAGACAGCTAATACAAACAAGCTGTAAAGCATACCACCTAAAGTTATAACTGTGGAGAACAAAATTTCTTTTTAAGAAACTCTTTCTGGGAATCTCACTTGTTGGTAAGGCTGGAAAGAAACAGCCCGGCCCTTCCATCTGCCAGACAGTCTGTAATTCTTTGCCTCTGCTGTGCCTTAAATTAGAGGTCTGTAAAACCGAATTATAGTGATCTAAAAAGTTTGTAAAGGTCCTTGAATTGAACATGTTGTTAAATTCTTCAATACTGTGATATTGTACCCACCTTTCACTTTTCCTCCCATTTCATTTGGCTAGAGTATTAGAAAGAAGTCTGGAACTGCAAAAAAAAAAAAAAAATTTAAAAAGTGCTTTTGGCCATTTGAGGATAGCCTAGCTGATTTAGGCCAAGTCCACATAAAAAGTTCAGGCCAAGGCTCCTTGGCCATTTCTAAAATGACCGCCCACTTCTTTCTACCAATAATTTTCCTTTTGGACAAAAACCTCATGTTCATACAAGATACACTTTCCAAACAGGATCCAGTTGAGAAAGCTCATCTGAGTAAATGGGAACTGACTTGAAGGACCACCAACATCTGATCCGTAAGCACACCAAGGACAGAAAAGTGCCACCCATTGACCTCCCTTAGCTTCCAAAGTAAAAAACATCATCTACTGAGCGGGATGGGAGCCCAACCTCACGAGTGGGACCAAAATCCATGCAGAAAAGAAGTTGAGGTAGTTTGGATTTTAAGGCCTAAAGTGGGGGTTGCGGGGGTCACAATGCATACCACCTTTCTCATGCAACTTCCTAACAATTCCCCAAATCCAAGAGTCATTTCTATCTCCAAATGCCACATGTCTCTTCAATACCTGTGCTTTAAAAGAAAATTACTACTTTCTTGTTGGTTTTTGAGGGGGAGGGACATGTGTGTGGAGGTCAGAGGACTACCTATGGGAGACTCCTTCCACCGCAGGCATGCTGGGACTCAAACTCAAGTCATTAGACGTGGTGGCACATGCCTTTACCTACTGAGCCATCTCACCCGTCCAGTGCCTATGTTTTTCTCTTGTGTTTTAAAGATTTCCTCACATTTGCTGTCACCAACCAAATGGTAATTCTTGAAGCAAAAGACTTCATTTTAAGTATTATGTTGTATTCCTAAATTCTGTCCACATACACACATGCAAATGTACATGTGCATGTATATATGTACACATGCATGTATAGACAGAAGAATGTATAACATAATATGTACTTATATTTATGTATTACCTGAATTGAATGAATGAGTGAATGTTTACCGAACACAAAGTAACTAGATGCCATCACTTTACTCTAGCTTGGACTGACTCATCTAAACTCATTTCTCTGCTCAATGACAAGATTTTAGGTGTTCCCTAGCTAAGGAATATCTCCACCTTAAAAACGACAATTTCTAGGTTCATCAGCATCTTCCTGTAATATCAATTTTTTTCACCCTTTCCTAATTGAAAAACTGAACTCTGTAAAATATTGTTTTCTTCTTGGGATCAGATACATGACTTTCATCAGATAGAAATGGTATAACAACTTCAAAAAAAGTGTGGCAAAAAGTTTATGAGCTACTTAAATGTCATCCGACCTGGCACTCCAGCTAGCCTACCTTACTAGCAGCTAAGTCACCTCTTCGTTTCTGCACATTCTCAGATGGTACTTGCTTTGTCTATGGTAAGGAACACTGAAGCAAGTCACTAAAGTACCCACAACATCCCAGCACCCTCTCAACTCTGATGCCATGTTAGCAACTTTCTGAAAAAATTCCCTCCATGGAACAACAATAAGTCTGCAAAATACAATGTCAATTACATTCAATTGAGAGAAAAAGAGTATCCATAGCCCTGAACTTCTAACCTATTATAGAACTTCCAAACAAATAAACGCAATTACATACTTAAGAGATTTCATTGTGGTTGTCAATGAAACAATGCAGTCCCCTCGTGTTGATGCAATGCTTAAAAATATGGTTAGCCCACCCCCCAACATACGCCCCCAGGTGCAAAAGCACCTTCCAAATGGGCAAACACATCTTGGGCTTCACCACTGTAAGCAATTCGTGTAAAGTGCAAAATCTCGGAAGAGTAAGACGTCCTGTCTTTTTAAAAAAAAAAAAAATAATATGCTGTTATCCACACTTTACCTTTACTTCCCTTAAGAATTAAAAGTTGCCCAATGTTCAAAGCGAAATCAACACAAATTTAGGTAAAAAACTGGCACTGCGGTGGTTCATTCCCCCAAAGAATCTAAGATTAAATTAATTTCCTAGTTTAACTCGAGTTTTACCTTTCATCCTCACCTAGAGACTTTCCGAAACTTTGTGTTCCTGTTGCACACCATATTACTTAGAATATGCGTGCATACTAAAGACATTTACAATTATATAAAGCATTGCACATTTAGACGCGACCAACCTGCTATATCTCTCCTGACTGTGCAAAAGGCAAAAAGAGCTCAGTAATCCTAGCAGAAGAATGCAAATAACGTCAATGCACAGCTGAACTGGAAGCCCTGCCTTACAGGAACTCTGTGTGTCTGCAAAAAAAAAAGACACATACTAAACAGGAAATGCAACTGAGCTGTGGAAAACCTCAAACTTAAAAATGCAATCGCCAGGCGAAAATTGCATCCATGCATTCACAAATGCATGCATAACCCTTTGCATCTTTGCAAGTATTGCAAATGGGCTCTTACCTTTCGACTGAGACATTTTCCCCTTTCCTTTGATGGGGGAGGGGAGCACAAAAGACTTTGCCTTGCTTCTCTTCTGTAGCTAGTTTTGCAACAAAGATGCAAGCTGCAGGCGTGCAATCTTCATGCAAGTGGAGTTTCTCTTGACCGATGCAGCAGATGGACTTTCAGGGAATCCAGATGGAAATGCACACCTTGCAAAACAGTCTGGAAAGTGATTTTTTTCCCCCAGTTGCAACGTTAGGGAAGGCTGTGCTGCAGCTACATGATGGGCCAGGGCTGGCAGCTAAAAGCTCCAAACTTGGAACTGAGTATCTTAGTGCGCAGACGTCCTTCCTGCGAAGAGCGCGAGGCCCGCTGGGTAATGTAGTTCTCATATAGAGTCCACGGGGCTCCGATTTAAGGAAACGTGCTTGTCTGGGTAGTTGAGAGAGATGACTGGGCGCAACAGAGATCTTATTCAGATATCGACTCAGACACACACTCGGTAGTAAGTGAAGGGCGGCAAGCAGCATAGCCAAGGAAAGGGAGCATTTTTGTCCTCGAAAAGCCCCTGAAGCTTGGAGAACACTGGGGTGGCTAAGAAGCTTTTGGGACCCTTACAAAGTTTGCTGGGGTGTTCAGCGCGTGGACTTTTTTTTCTTCAACTTTGCACCTGTGCACTGCCTGCCTGTAGACATTTCACCCTGACACCTCATTTCAAAACATTGTTCTTGAATGGAGAACTTGGTGGTGATTTGGCCACACAGAGAAGACGCAAAGTTTTATTTAGTAAGAAACTTTCCAGGTCAGTTCTTTTCAAGAAAGCTGAAATTCAGTACTGGGAGGGACTGAAGCAGGAAGATTTGGGGGAGTTTTCATTTCTTACAGGGTTACAAAAGAAATTTTGCTTTTTATGTATCAAAGCCAATTTTAATCAGTTGATTCTTTTTTTCCCTCACCTGAGGCGGGTAGGGATGGAGAGAAAAGTCCCTGGTCTAGAGAAGAAAGGGGTGAGAGATGGAGAACGGTAATCTTAAGAGAATAAAGTAGAATATCTTGAATGTTTTCCATAACATCAAGAAAGCCCAGGATGCACCAGGCATCTTTCCAGAGCTTTGGGTTTTCCCTTTGTCCTGCAGTACCCAAGGCTAGAGGGTGAGCAGTAGTATTCTGATGAAGAAAAAAACCTCTTCCCCCGCGCTAGGAAGTAAGACGTGCAAGAATTCCCTGAAAGGGATGGAGAGGAGAGAGAAAGATGTGGGCAGGAGGAGACTCAGGCTTCCATTGCCGGTGTAGACCACACTCAGGCAAACAGGGAAGCGAGGAGAGTTTCAGGCTGATGACCTGTAAGGCAAGCAGTGTGGGAGGAATGAGGATCCACCATGCTTGGGACCCTGAGGGTGCCATGTTGCCTGGCATGAGCGGGAAGTGGTCAGAATGTAGGGGAGGGAGGGTCCTTCAGGGCCTTAAAAGGCTAAGTTAGAGAGTTGGACTTTATTCAAAAGTACTTGGGAGGCCAGGTGTGGTGGCGTGCTTTTAATCCCAGCACTCTGGAGGCAGAAGCAGGCAGATCTCCTGTGAGATAGAGGCCAGCCACCTGGGGCTACAGAGAGACCCTGTCTCAGAGGGAGGGAGGGAGGGAGGGAGGGAGAGAGAAACATACAAATATATGGGAGATAGTGAAAGGTTTTGAAAAGGGCATAACTTAAGCAATCAAGGCATTGTTTTAAGAGGGTACATTTTCCCTCAGTGATCTAGGTAAGTTGGAGCTGGGAGAGGCTAGACACAGGTCTGTCGTGTTTGGAAGGCCAAATCAGGCACTTTGAAAGATAATTCTTTCAGATGTGATACCTGCTAATGAAAACGTGGAGAACTGCATTGAGAATTCTAGGAAGCCAGGGCCTTATGAGCAATGGATGAATCAGACAAGGCTACCACATGCCAGCTACAAATCAACTCTTTCTTTTTCCCCTTTGTTTTTCTCCTTGTACTAGATTGAACTCAGTCCTCACAAACTCCAGTTCTGCACCACTGAGCTACAGCCCTAGCCCCAGTTTCAATACTCAGTTTGAGTCAGGCTCTAACTAAGTTACCCAGGCTGTCCTTGAACTCACTCAATCACCCAAACAGGCCTTGAGTTTATGATTCTCCATCTTTCAAAATAGCAAGTCAGCTTACAATAAAAATGAGCTGGGTTGGAGGCTCTCACCAGTGACTTCAGCTGACCCTCTTTATGAGCAGCTTTGTCTTTTTCTCCTTGGGACAGGGTCTTGCTATGTCACCTTGTCTGGCTGTCTTAGAACTCACTGAAGTAGACCAGGCTAGCCTCGACTTTGCAGTCATCCCCATGTCTCTGCCTCCTTAGTGCTAAGATTACAGGCATGTGCTACACAGCACATGGCTTCCTTTAAATTCTGGAGAATTAATCAAGGCAACTTCACATCCAGAGGGGGCAGCCTCTGCATGTAAGAGGATAGCACTTCCATCCCATGAGTACAGATGGGCGACTTTCTAGCTCTTTTGTTCAGTACCCATCAGGACTAACTAATCCACACTACCCTTTCCTGCCTTTCTTCTGCACTTGGGCCAGAGCCTCCACTATGAGCCTTTTACCTGAGTCTCGTTTAACCAGAAGATACATGTGTAAGGGATCCATTTCAAGGCTCCCGGATTTACTTTTGAAGCACTGATGGAACCCTTACTGAGCCTCATTAGACTCCCTTACCCCAAGCAGGGCCTGAATAACCACCTGGAACTTTCCATTTGAACCTCATGTTATCAGCTGCATTGCTCTTTAATGGGCCCTGTCTCGTATACAGAAAAGTTTTTTTTTTTCAATTACGTTATGCACTCATATTGAATATTTCATTTATTTTTATTTTGTGTGTATCAGTGTTCTGCCTGCATGATGTAAGTGCATCACACAACTGCAGTACCCTCAGAGGCCAGAAGAGGGAGATGGATCCCCTGGGACTGGAGTTATGATTTATTGTTAGCCTCCAGGTGGGTGCTGGGACCCCAACCCAGGTCTTCTTCAAGGGCAACAAGTGCTCTTAACCACTGAACCATCTCTCCAGTCCCACATTTATTTATTTATTTATTTATGGGGGGGGGGGAAGGCATGCACATGTGCCACAGCACACATGTGAAGATCAGAGGACAACTTGGTAGGAGTTGGTTGTCTCCTTCCACCATGTGGATCTTGGGAATTGAACTTAGGTCATCAGGCTTGGTGGCAAGTGCTGAGCCATCTCCCCAGACATTAGAGTTTTTAATTTCAACTGGTGTAGTGCATTTTGTGACTGTGATTTGGCTTGTCCATTCTCTGGATAAGTACACATAGCTGGCAAATGGATTGTGTTCTGAAAAAAATCAATCTGCCATTCATTTTCCCGTAGAAACAATGAAACATTCAGTGGTTCGTGAACATATACAAGCACACGGGTACACACAAAACACCTTTAACCATGAACCAGCTGAATCATGTATTGTGAAATGGCAAAGTGGATCATTTATCTTCTCTATCCTGAATTCTGAGTGGGACATAAGGGTACCAAGGAATCCAACCTCTTTGACAAGTTTCAACACCCGAAAGGAAAAGTCCTTCTCTGGGTATGAAAAGGTATCTACCTCCCAGTTTTTCTGTGTGGTCAAAGAAGCTGTACTTCTTTGTTCTGTCAGGACTTCATAATGGTGACTGTCCTAAAAAGAGTCCTTCAAACAGTGGGGTAGGAAAAGAAGCGTGACTTAAAGTAGCATCTTCATGGGTACACCCAGTGTCTATCTTGGGATTTTCCATACTTCAGATCTTTCTAAAATGCAAATCTGACATGCTCTTGTCCCAGAGTTTACTTAATTTATCTTCAGGACCAATTCCAAACTCCTTGGCCTGAGCCCTGTCTAGCCCGCAGATTCATCCCTCACTCTACGCTGATGCTATGGGCAGAAGGCAGGATTTCTGGCTCTTGGTTTTCGGATGCACAGCTTCTCTACCTGGCAAATTCTTTCATTATCTGTCTAGCTATTCTGATTTGTCCTGGACCACCTCACTGTGCACTGCACACTGAGGGCACCCTACCAGCACCCTCCACATGAATTAGTGCATTGTGTAATTCTGCAACACCCCCACATACATCTCCCTAAGACTCATCCTAGAGCTGACAGGAGTTCCTTTCTGTACATCTTTGCAGGACTGTAGAGTACTAGAGATCAGAGATCCCACAAATATCTCTACCTTCTCAACGCCCAGGACAACATTTAGCACATCTTGTACTCATAGACGTGCTGAAATAATGCACAGAATCGATGGGTCAAAAGCCTCTAACCTTTGCTCTTCTGGAATAACCAGACTCCAACAATGGATTTAATCCCACCTGGGGAAAGACCCATGCTGTCATGTTGGAGGTGTGCAATTCTTGGAAGAAGTCCTTAGAGTTAGGTCGTACCGGTTTCCGAAGGAACTATTCTAGAGTTATATGTGGGGTGGGGGAAGTGGTGGCATAGGGTTTCACAAATAATCCACCAGGAACAGCAGTTGCAGTGCTCAACAGTAGCTGCTCTCAATTGGTTTGCCTCCTGGGTAATATCTACAGAAATTTTATCATAATGGAGAAGATATGTAAAATTAGCATCTACTAGAGACATTAGGAATTTAATGATCTTACTACAGAACCCAGGAAGCCCCAGTCGTAGCAAAGAATTACCTGGTTCAAATGTCAGTGTTGAGTAGGAAAAACCTCATTGTAGCATGAAAAGTTGCTCCAAGCTAATTGAACCTAATGACTTTGGCAAGATGCAATTACAATGATATGAGAAATCTGGACAAGTTATTTCACCTTTCTCTAATTCTTTTGGTCCCAATGTAAAACAAGGAGGGTTAGCCTAAGGGTGCCTCTAGTTCTAACATTCCATGGCACTAAACCCAACTCATGTGTCTATTTTTAAACCACTTTGTGGTTTAAAGGAAGAGCTATGCTGGGCATGGCAGCCCATGCCTTTAACCCCAACACTCAGGAGACAGAGGCAGGCGGATCTCAGTGAATTCAAGACCAGCCTGGTCTACATAGTGAGTTCCAGGCCATGTGGGGCTACAGAGAGACATTGTCTCAAAAATACAAATAATAAAATAAAATAAAATAAAAATAAAAATAGAGCTATATTTGTTTAAAATTTTTATTTGTAGTTTACGTGTATGAGTGTGTGTTTGTGCCAAGTATATGAATACATGTATGCAGTTGCCTGCAGAGGCCAGAAGAGGGCATCAGATGTCCTAGAGCTCTAGATACAGGAGGTTGTGAGCCACCCAATGTGCT